GAAAATGCCCAGAGGATACGTCTGCGAGCACGGCGGAAGGCCCGAGGGAGGTGGCCGCGTACGCCTAGTCGCTGTGACACTTGCCTTGAGACAGCCTATACAGGGTTTCAGTTGGTTTTGCAAGGTTTTATGCAGTGAACGGTGCTTACATCGGTCAGAGTGAAACTTCAGTACCTCTCTTCTGCTTTGAAGCCTGTTCGCGCTTCGCAGTCACTGCCTGGTTCACGGATGATGGGACGAGTATCTAATCCACAATATGCTCAAGTAAAGGTTGGTATATTTGCTTTTCTCGAATGGATATTATAGAAACAGATCCATTCTAAGAACGAAGCTGAAGAAGTCGTTTCATCCACCACCACATCCATTGACACTGCTCATTCTGGACTGCGACCTTTGGTACCGCGACCCTCATCATCGCAAAATACTCGAGATTTGGCCAAAGTAGTTGGACAGGTAAGTTCTGATTAAGCGTGTGGCATAAGAGACCATCTAGTGCGTTCTTAGATTCGGCCAAAAGTTGATTTGGAAGAACGACGTGCGTCTCCAACCTCATCAACGTCCACGGCCACACCTCCGATGCAATCTCACTCGCCTGCTCCGGCCGTCGGTGCACAACAACGATCACACGACATTCTTTTGTTGACAAAAGATGAAATACCATTACAGGAACGAATTAGTGAGTTTATAAGTGAAAAATCATCTGCTCAAAATTCTTAAAAAAAACATGTGCGTGCGTTGAACTAACAAATTCATACTTGTGTTTGAACACGTTTGGATAATCTACTACTTGTAATTTGTGAACGAACATGTTCGAGCCTGTTAGGCAGTATGTGCAACAGCGTTCACGAATGTTCTGAATAGTTACAAAATGGATGATAGTTTTAAAAGCAGCTCTTTAGTGACCGTCTTCGTCAATTATTCATGTCGTCTTGGTCCGTTCCTCGATCCAATTATGGTAAGTTTAATTTTAGTTCCATCTGCTCAAAAATCTGGACAAAATTTGTAACACGCGTCGCGACGCAGTTTTATTCAAATTATGAATGCTGAAAAACTCAAAATGACGACATGAAATCAGTGTTGGATCAAAGATTTTTTCTTCATTACAACCCGGTCACTGTTGTATTACGAGAATATTATA